TATTGGCTTGTTTGTACATCCAATCAATCTTATCACGAACATAAGCCCTGTCATCAACTTTCTGAAGAAGCATACCCAGGCAACTGCAAAAGAAAAGATGCAATGACAATAACAAAGAAGACTCCAATAACATAGACTTCTGAAAACAAGAATCCAAAACTTTTTCCAAAACGGTCAATAAATTGAAACCAGAAACCTATGTGAACAAAGCATCTTCAGATAAATACTAAATTTGTCAAAACTGCACACCTTGAAAGGTACTCAAGCAAATTGCATATACTAATATATAATACAAATACAACCTCTATCTTCCTCCCAATCTAGTAAAAAGAAATCTATCCACCTGCAACAGAATGGAATAGTTCCGACATTAGACCAGGTAAACGAAGCCCCATATAAAGCTTGTTTAGAAGCTAAGATGCCTTGGGCTATCCCAGAATCTTGTGATTCACTTCTCATAGACAATGTAGTTGCCTTTGGAAGAGGAAGAAAACCAAAACCTTTTTGAGATATGCCATTTCAGCTCTTTCTTAGGTGATTTGGATAAAAGAAATACCCAGATTTTTTATGACAAAAGAGCAAAAAACAGTAGCGAGTTACGGGTAAAAGTCCGTCTTTAATTGGTAAGGAGTATCAGGATTCTTCTTTTTTGTCTTGATTCATCTCAATTCGGAAGGGGTTCTAGGTTAATTGTATAGTTTGTGGTCTATTTTGTAAAGGAACAGGATGGTTACTCACTACACATAGGTGTGTAGATTTCTTAGCCCTCTCATGGCTTTTTTATAGTTTCTTATACATATAAACAAGAGCAGGATCAATAGCCCTATATTTTATACGCAACTTTTTGAGTCTTAATGCATTTGAATGATTGAGATTAAAACTACCAAATATAGTGTCTAATATGTATCAAAAAATGACGCCTTCAAACCTACTTGTATATATACAGATAACACATACAAACATCAATTCTGTCAAATTGTTGTTCTATAATTGTACCTTCTTATATGTCAAGTAGGCATTGCTACTTTATTCGTGAAAAATGAAGTTGCACAATGCATACCACATGGAGACAGAACATTCCTTATTAACTTTTAATTTTCTTCACATTTCAATTTTTATAAGTTCCCCAAAAAAAGATAGTGTCCTAGCATAAAGGTATTTGACATAAGACAAACAGATTGAAAAACAAAAGAGAGAAAAGAAATTGGAGACAAATCAAATTAGGAATGAGAGAAAATGCGAGAGAAAGGGAAGAAAATTGAAGAGACACAGGAGGGGAAACAGATAGAATCCAGGGAGAAAATCAATGTTCAATAATCCATCAAGTCTATTTCCAAAACAACATTAGGCTCTACTTATAATAGTGTTATCAAGCCCTAGCTAAAAGAACCTTGGAAATAACAAAAATCTAATTATTAAAATTATATATAACTTAAACAAGTAATAATACGACTCAGATCTCTAAAATAAAATATTCCCTCTAATAACCACTAAATTCAAATTTACTATTTTTAATCAGTGTGTCTAACAAGTATTATCAAGAAGCATCCAAGTAGTGAATGCATTTCTAATTCTACAAGTTTATCTTCAAATTTTGACATACACTTAGTCATACCAAGACGTGGTCAAGTCTTACCACCATCCAATAGAAACACAGCCCACTACTAGAAATAATCAAGCTGGTTATAACTTGACTATTGAGAGTATAGGTAAACTAGATTTACAGAAGAATAGAATCTTATTTTTTGCCATAAATCTGAATGTTGATATGATAAACAATTGTGCTCAAGAATTTCAGTCATTTTTCCAGAAAAGCATGATAATTAGATGCAAGTGACCAAATTTTGTGGGGATTTTTTAGAAACAACTTATTTCAAGAATCCTTACTGATTTAACCACCTTTCATGTGATCAAATAAATACCCTTTATTTGTCAATTAACCGAACCTACATACATGTCATGCTCAAAAGTAGCCAAGTTACTAAGATATTCAAAAGAAAAATTGCAACTCTAAAGTCACAAGAGTTATTTTCTGGTGCCCAAAAAATAATAAGCAATGATTCATCCAATGTTTCATTAATTCAAGAAAGCAAATTCAAAAAACTAATACCGGTGAAGAAGTGCCGAATGTTCATCATCAGGCGTATAAAGTACATATTGTTCAGTAAATGCATTTCCAAGAGAAATCACCCAAGCAGTGTCTTGAATTACATCCAAAGATTCTGCAAGAAACTGTCACCAGATACCAAAAAAACATCAGCATACCTATTGTTGCAAAGGCCCTTTGACTTTGTCGCTTTCTTATATATGATAACAGAAGCAAATTAAATATACAGGTGAGTTTACAGACTTTAAAGAACCTCCTCTCTCAAAATAAAAAATGATTGATATAAGCTAAAGCTTCTTACATTGATGATCATGTCATCCCAAGTCTCCTGGTATGAAGGATCCAGCTTTAGGTCTTCTGTATCACTAACATATGCCTTCATTTTTGGAATCTAGAGCTTACCATAAGCCAGACGTCGCCGGAAAACTGAATCACGCAAATGGGTTTAGGGTTTACGCGTTTCAGGCTCTGATACCATGTTACTTTCTCTATTTCTTCTTAATATCAATAGTACACCCTAACTCAAATATATACACACACTAATATAATTACAAGTATACCCTTTACCCTTTACACTGTATATATAAACATGGTTTCTAACAATTTACAAGAAACTAAGATTGTTACACTAATGCTGTAGAATATTTAAAAAAAAAATAAAAAAATAAAAAAAATCAGCTCACAAGGAGTAATGTTAAGATGAAGTATCAACGACTTGACATCAATCCATGTGAAGTAAGAATTGATTAATGTTTCTAGGTGCAAGTGAGAATGACAACTTTTGCGACACCTTTTTAGCCAGTTATATGGAGAAAATTCTCCTAGGGAATTGATAAATTTGGAGAAAATTTGCATAAAAGAAGAACAGAGAATGAGCTCGATACCTTGAAAAAACCTCCCAACCAGAACCTAAAGATAATGATACAAAAGTAATAAAATGAGATAGCGGAAGACACAGATAAAAGCATCTCTGCTCTCAAAAAGAGCATTATGTCTAATTGAAACTGAAAAAGCATAAACAATGTAGGTCAATCCATTACCTCCCACCAAGGCTACTATTCAGTGCTCTTAAAAGCCAGGGTTTAGCCCTTTGAGATTCTTTAACCCAACAGTTCTGAAACCTAAAAATGTCAAACCATCCCTTTAGTGTCATCCAGTTGAAATATGTACAATACAGTAATGTAAATACTAGCAGAAGAAAATCCAAGGAAAGCAGCAGATGAGAACTTTTCTGTCAGAGTCTCAGTCTGGTCCCAAGTATCTAACTTCTAAACATCCTTTTCAGTAATAGGTTTCTTATATCCCAGCCGCATAAGTGGAGTCATCCATCCAAAATATATGCCTAAAAGAAGGCAATGCACCAAAATGTCAGTGAATAACTATAAGCATCAGGTTATAAAAACCTTCATCTCGCATTACATAAATGGGAAAACCGAATTCTTATAATTATAAGTCAGCTAAGAAACATGATAGATAATTGTGAAACTTAAAACACCTAAAGATTAATGCTCGTTGAATTACAAATGTAGAACTAGGTGGCAATCTGTCCACACTTCCTACAATTTCACCACCTTGGTACAAAATAGTCAGATAGTCTTCAACCGATCCTATAATTATGTTTCTAAAAACAAGAAAAAGTTCAAATTCAGGAACACTTACTGGGAATCAGGATATACTGGCATTCCTCTCGGATCATACAGTTGTACTCCCTCCATAGTGCTACTCATATTCCATTATGGGGGATTCCCCTCGAAATCTGCAGCAGTTGTAGACCCGATGAGTTGCAAATTTGGAAACATAAACAACAAAGATAAGACATCCCAATAACACCTACATCACGAACAAAGACAGATAATTATATTTATTGACAAGCTTTCAAATGAATAAAGAAACAAGCTAAGTTAAAAATGTCTGCTATTCTATAAAACTTTTCAACCTCTTCTGTGTCACAGAAAGAGTTGATGATACCTAATATTTATGTGTAACCTTGAAAGACATCTTGACACACATTCTTGTAGCGGAGTTAACATTGCCACAAACCAGGTTTCCAGTGGACCACCAAGCGCTCCCAGATTTGGCTAGTCAGCCATTTACTAGACAGAAAATGAGGTCCAAGACCCTTGAAGAGTCCACTGTGTAAATCAACAAGCCGAAACTATAACATGTTAGCATGCTGATAGTTCTATTTGACTATACTTTCAGTAGTGAGTGGTTAACAAGAACGCAAAGCTGCTGTATATTGGTTTGAAAAATAAATGTCAATGATTAAGTGTCCATACCATAAAGACACACGGGACTAATTTTTGATGGGCCCTTCCACAAAACCAACTGTATACTCTCTCATCAAAAGCAGAAAATTTACTTACTCATTCTGTATTACTTAATTTTATCTACTTCTTATACATTTTTTAGATCAGGGGCCAAAAAAGGGCTTCAGTCCCTGGTGTCTTTCAAGGTCAAGGAACATGCTTTAAATAGCCTGTAAGCAGACCCCAATTTGGCGGCTTCAGTACAAAGACATTTAGAACTAGACAGTGCAACGGAGACAACGGAAAACAAGAACCAGACGTGGTGATGACCTTGTAACCTTCACAAGAGGAAAAGAAAATAAAGAGGAAACAACCTGGCAAAAGACCATGCTGATTACAAATAGAAACAGATCTGCATTGAGTAATAAAACCATAAATTTTAGTATAAGAGACATTCACTTCACCATGAAATTAGTGAATAAGTAATTCATTAATGAGGTGGAGAAAAAACTAACCTATGTAGTATTCTATCACTTGAGAACTGAGATTTAGCACCCCAGCATCCCCTATCAAAACATAAATGACTCAATCGCACATACCATTAAACTCACGGACATAAATTTGTTTCCAACCAATCATTACAACCACAGGCACCAACGAGAGCCTCAATCATCAAAGAAACCATCTGCAAGAGAAAACAATTACTTTGAATTATCTTGTAAAGGGGGCCCAAATATTGCTTGTAGCATATACGCGAATACCAACAATTAGAATTGATGTATTTTGTAACCTAGATCACATTTAGGAAACAAATTGTTCTTGCCTAACTGTCAGCCAATTAACAAAGGAAGAGCTTAATTCTGATAAGATTTAACTAGTTAATTGTGTTTTGCAATGCATAAAATTGGCATTGTCTACTACACTTGTCTTTCAACTCTTCAATGCAGGAACCGCACTGATGTCTAGCACTATTTAGCCAAAGAAAACAGTACAATGGATTCAGCTCACGTGGTGATTATGGAAAAGCATAAAAATTAAAGATAATGCAATTCATAATTTTGAACGTTCTAACTAATGTCAGTAGTAGATTGTAGACCAAAAACCATCAATTTTCAGTACATTTGATTTTGAGTGCACATGCTAAATTTGAAAGATAAAAGCCACAACAAGAAGCCAGAGAAGCTAAAAAGAAACAAAACAACACAAAAACAGAACAGAACAATAAAACAAAAAAATACAAGAAACACCCACCTCAAAGGGAGCAAGACTAGTATCTCCATCCAAGTTAAAGATAGAAATACCCATGACCAATCTTAGTAGAGGCTCAGCTGTACAATAACCAGCCAACAGTCCTAAAATATAATTGTAGTAATTCGAACTCAAAAGAAACCTTTTGGCTTTGGAACTTTTTCTAAGAAGCCATATTCGACAAATGCAAAGGCCAAAAAGAACCAAATGAGAAATGGAAATGACTAGAGAATCAACAGCACAAGTTGTGTATGCACCAAAAGCACTATCCACTGCTTTTGCCCAAAACCCATTTGCCACTGGCCTACAGTACCATTCCAATGGTTCAAAACCCATCCTTTATCACCTACAAAAAAATTCACAACTCAAGTTATACATTCATTATTTATTGTACCTTATGATTAGATTCTGAGTTTACTAGATGTACTCACTCAATTCCTACAGCAATTGCTTAACTGCTCCACACAATGGACTACCTGCAAGAATAATAAACCAAGTTCATAATTAAAACTAGAAACAAAAAAAATAAAATGATGCTACAAATTGCAGCTAAATTTGCATGATCAGAACAAAAAATAACATAAAATCCCATCTCTATTTAAACTTTTCCCAATTGCCTCATTGATTGATGAAACGAAAATGAAAGAAAATTTTATGAAAACGCGTGTGGTTGAAGTGCGTTTAAACAATAATTCCAAAAAAATCAGTTTCTGAATACAATCTTAAAAACAATATAAAATAAAAAAAGGAAAAGGAAGTCATAACCTTATCAGAAGTTAAAAGTATTGAGATAACATTTGGATTTTTGAGTTCTATATGGATTTCAAGCCAAAAGGATCATCGTTGTACACAAACTTACAGAGAAAACAGAGGAAAAGAAAGAAACTATCGATTCAAATGTTTACTATTGTCAAAACTAAAGAACCCAATTCAGCCACTCAAAGTTCTAGTTCTATCATCCTCCAAACCACGTAAAACCGAAAACCCAGAATCATTTTTCTTTCTCTATAACAATTTTTGAACAACCAACCAAGCACAACACCACAACCTACAATAAACCACAAAACAGTATAACTAACAAGGATGAGAAGAAAGAAGAAACCTCTTTAAGCTCTAGCACTCTGGTATTTCTTCAGTGTACAAGTAGAAGAAGAAGTGAAACATGAAGAAAAGTCTCAAAGTAACGTGGTTTGCATGGTCCTTGCATTTATGCTTTTATACAAATGAGAGACTCCATGCCCATGAAAATAATAATAATACAACATTACCAAAGTAGAGTGTCAATAAAAGCAATGAAACAGAGTAAACCGACAACAATCCGTGGGCCTTATATGGCGTCATGGCTTACGTGAGAGAGCACTGTACAGAGATGGGGAACGATTTGTAGTGGAATCATTGATGCAGTTTATTCATTTTTTATTTTGTTGATTGGGTTTTTGACCTCTAATACACACTTGATTCAAACTCACATGACTCATTTCTGTGGACGTTGGAACCGGGCGGGCGACTAATATATAGATTGCATATAAATATAATTCCAAACGAGTCATTGCCAAATTTTTTATTTGTTACACAGGGTTGACCCGGTAAAGAATTTTTTGGGTTATTTATTATATATTTAGGACCTTGCTGTACTTACTGATTAGATTACCGATTTTGCTATACCGACCCACTGCCCAATTATTGACTTCTCAAAATTTATCTCAATTCACCAAAAATCAGTATGTCAAATCGGTTGTTGACTCGGTAGCTTTAGCATTATTGATATATTTATGACTTATCTTGACATTCAATAAGTTTTGAATTCGTTGAGACATCCCGATCACTATATATATATATATTCAAATTTTCACTTTACAAGAGGAGAAATTTTTTGCCCCCCATCCCATAGTTACCCAAGGACCAGTTTTTAACCACTATCTAAAACCGTAACGCCATCGTTAGAATTACAAGGGGTAAAATGATTTTTTTATTCTCTCCTTCCCCATTTTGTTCCCTCTTAGTTTTTCCTTTTTCTCTTTCTCCGCCTCCATTTTCTTGATTTCTTCCTCCCATTTTGGCCCTAATAAGTATGAAAACTGACAAAACAATCCCTACAAAATAGGTTTGTCATCTTCATGTTGAAACCCTAGCACATCCAACTAGTCGTTTTAGACTGTCGTTCCATGGCGGCCTTCCAAGGTTGCGACTCGAGCTTGCCCATCGCCGGTGAGTGCCTTGTGGGGACAACCAAGGTCTTAGCTTAAAGACCTAGCAAGGCGGCACCTCTAACAGTGAGTTTCACACTATGACCCACAACTTTGACGATAATAGAACGCCGATTTGGGTTGCCTGCAAGCTACCAGAACATAGTGAACAATGGGGCTGTTACTCTATGACACATCCAAGCCTGGAATCTTAGGTCATGGATTCCTCAATTGGCATTGCTAGGGTTTCAACATGAAGATGACAAACCTAATTTGTACCTTGCAGGGACTCTTTGTTAGTCTCAATGCTTGTAGGGGCCAAACAATAATGGGGGAGAAAGAGGAAAAGAAATAAAAGCGTGATAAAAAGGAGGAAACGAGGAAATAAAAAACGTTTTGCCCTTGTGTATTTTAACAGAGCTTGGATGATGTTATTTTTCAAAACAGTTTTTCCATATTTTTTTATTTTAAAACATTAAAATTAATATATTTATAAATGAGAAGAACTTATTAAAAGAAAAAACCTATTTTGGTCATTTCACATGTCCAAAATTATTCTCCTAAATTAACAAAAACAAACATATAATAAAGTTTTATCAAAAGTTGATTATTTCAAAAGTGGTTTATAAGTGATTATGCAAAAGCTACAACAATCTCAAACTAAATGTTTTATCTCTAGGACTTTTCCGGTTTGGTCCACTTTGTGTCTATTTTCTATCCAATTTATCTTAGTTTTGAAAATAAAAACATTTTAAATAAATGAATTCATTTTTTACAAAATAAATACACCTAAAAATATAATATAACTAAATAAATTAATACTCATACAAGTAAAAATATATAGTTGTTCTAATTTCTTCTTTTTTAACATTTTTTGTTAAAGCTTTGTTGATATCAAGAAAAGTTAGTTAAAAATACACCAAAGCCATGGTCAATGAAAAAGGTTAACTATGGAAAATCATTAAATATATATATTTTTTAAATAAAATAAGTTTCATATACACTTTTAGGATTTTGTTAAAATTTTCTAAAGTTGCATGGACTTTTATTAAAAAAATAAATAAAAGGTGTTTATTATTATTTGTTTTGGTGAACTTGTCTTTATTGGAAGGATATGTGGCTGAAAATGCTCAAAGCTAGCAGACAGGAAACGAAAACCACAGCTGCCTTATTGATGTCTTAAGTTGTTCTTTTATAAGCCTTATAATTTTATAAATCATTTGGATGTGATAAGCTTTATGCCCAATATCAATGAAATTACTATATGCAATTATTCTCAAATGACCACAAATTTATTTTATAATCTAGTAAAAAAGAAAAAGAAAGAGTAGTTATTAAGATTGCAAAAAAAGAAAAATATGTAAATAAATGAGACAACTAAAGGTAATAAGAGGAAAAATTATGTAAATAAATGAGACAACTAAAGGTAAAAAGGGCATATTAGATAATAAAATTATATAAGAATAATACTTTGGGTACTAATGGATGAGTACTAATATGTGTACTAACTAAAGCATAGTACCCGTACTATGCGCATAGTACGGGTACTATGCTTTAGTTAGTACACATATTAGTACTCATCCATTAGTACCCATAGACGTTTTAATTAAATTTTACATGAAGATTAAAAAAAAAAAAAGACCCATTAGATGATTTTTTATTTTATTTTATATATTTGACATTATTTCATAAATGATAGAAAATACTTAATATAATTTGTTTCAATAACATTATACGATAAAGGAATTGAGGTGGACTTGGATCTTTGGATCACGTTAATTGGGTGACGTCACTGCTGACTTGGGCAATAATTGTATAAAAGAATATACCAACCTTATCTCCTTATAAAGTTATAAGAATATTAAAGTATGAAGAGAAAATTTCCCTTAAGTACCATAAATTTTGGAATTTAACATTACCATCCCAATATTAGTAATCCACAAACAACTTTATTAGATGACGGGTATATAGGTAATTTATAATTAGAGTAATACTATATATATAACATTTCTCATACAGTATTATATGACAAAATATGATTAACTAATTTTAAATTAAAATTAAACTTTCACCCAATTATCTTTTACTACATAATGTTGTATATGTAATATTATTCTTATAGTTAAAATGATAAGAATGCTTTCGGGATTGTTGTAGCTTAAGAAAACAAATTTTAAAATTGGTATGGGTAGCTTTTAAAAATCTAATTATTCTATAATCTGCTTTAAATTTTTTAATATAATACATTTCCTTATTAAAATCTTAAAAAGACAATTTTATCCCTCTATTTTTTGTTTTTATCATAAATCTAATTTCTATTCTTAGAAAAACCTAATATCTCCTTTAATCCTCATCCACCATTGTTGATCAATTAACCGTCAATCCATTGCCAAAAAATAAAATTCCACTGACTTCATTTAGTCATTGCTCAAGAGTGTTCACCTGAAGACCAACCTGAAGGTAGTATGGTTTATTTCCTTGACCCCATCCCGCCTCGCTCCGAAAGAGCTGGGCAATCCTCAAAAGAGTCGAGGATTGGCACAGGACTGGGCCAAAAATAGTTCCTCGGCCCAGGGAGTGGAGTTTGGCTTCACCCCGCCCTGACCTGCGGGGACCCACTTCCTCCCCCCCCAAAAAAAACACACACACACACACACACATATATAAACATAATATCATTTCATTTAAAAAATTTAATATAAGATCTTTTCTATTCAATCTTATCAATATTCAATAAATCTTGTTAATCTTATATTAGTTTGAATAGTTGAAAATTAATCAATAAAGCAAACTAAACAAATTAATTAGAAAAAGGAAGAGGAACTTTGCACAAGAGCAACTTAAAATCATTGTAAATTAAAATTACCAATTAATTAGAAGAAGAAAGACGAACTTTACACAATAAATTGTATCACATAAGTCTAATATCTAATTTTAGACAATAATATTTTCTAAATTGTAATATCTAATTTTATACACATAAGTCTTACTACATATCCAACAAGTTACTAATGTTATATCTAACAAGTCCTACTATATACTGTATTATAATTGATCATGGATTATATCTAACAAGTCTTACTATATATTATAAATAATTTGTGACATTTCATATAAATAATAATTTGTAATTAATTTGTCTAGTAATAACAAGTTTTCTTTTGCTACTAAAATTGACTTCTTAATCTTTATCAATATAATAGATTCTCTTCTAATTAGATAGTGTTAGAGGATTTTAATTACCTTTTGTAATGAATTTCTAATAAAGAAATTAGAAGTATATTTAAAAAGGTACTTTGATGATCAGCCCAGAAAAAAAGATCTAATCTCTTCAGAATTGTAAATATTCGATAATTGATTTATGTTGTAAAATTATCTATAATCCAATGATTTATAATGTAATGAAGTATGCATGTGTGAACCAGGAAAAGTCCGAACTCTTTGCCGGCCTTCAATATTTGATGAATCGTATCACTTCGATTATCACCAACTGCTTTACTTAAATCAACCACCGGAATGGCATTACATACAAGAACAATGGACTTTCCAGGTCTCATTTCTGGTGGGATACATAATCCTCTGATAAGGATGGATTTTTATACTATATTGAAACGAGCTTATCCATTTGCTACAATGTAGATGACTGAATGATCTTCTAATTAATTATTGAAGCAGTGATTTTATTTCGAAGATAATGTGGACTTATATAATAATTATTAGTACAAAAATGAAGTGAAATAATGGCTGTGGAATTGCTTGGAAACTTAGCCATTCACAATCAACTCATACATAAACGAGCTGTATATTACTTTCCCATAGGTTATGCATTTACTAATAATAGAGTTTACTTAGTAAGTTTGTTTATTAGAAACATTGGCAGTCACAAAATTATTTGGCTAAATTTTTTAACAAAACCGTGAGGGTGAGTTTGGTGACTGACTGGTGAACGGCATAATATTTGTAAACCGAAATAAAATAAAAAATGGAAATGATTGAGAAAGAAATGCTTCCTCCACCAAGTCAAGTTGACTTTTGAGAGTCAAAAAGCATTTAAAGGATGACATGGTTGTCAGATGTGTTTTTGCAATACTTCAAAATACTAGCTGACATCAAGAAGATAATTGATGTAATTGCTTACAACAGCTTGAATATGACATATGATTAGCTTTTCATAGCATAATTTTAAAACAAGTTCGGCCTTACCTCAGTTGTTTGTTCTACACGTTAACAACTGCACCTGATATGACCTAGGCTTGGATCATGCTCAACTAGAAGGGTGTCCTTTTTTTTTTTTTTTAATTAATTTGTCAATTTTAATGAGTTATCATTATTTTATTATAAAAATTGAATTAAATATCCTTTATAATTTTTAAAATGGATACAAGATATAGTAACAAGGTGTTCTTACAAGATAAAACAGATTAAATGCAATTTCAAGAGTAATTCCAGATTTTTGTCACAAAATCTTGTGCAGACAACCCTTAAGGGGCTGAGGAAAAACTGTAAAGTAAATTAATAAAAATTATTCTTGCCGACAATCTGATTTACAAGAAAGCAATCTGAGAAAGTAACATTGCCGACAGAATAAATTTGTTTTGGTGAACATAAACTATTTCCGATGTATATAGAGAGCACCACCATTGGTGATCATACAAATGCCTTACGTGTATCTTTAATATTCTTACAAAAACAAATTGAACTGCTGGTTAATCAGTTGTAGAGCTTTTAAACTGGTGGAGAGCTTCAGCATCAGCAGCTTTGGATAAAAATTCATTTTGGAAGTCTTTAAATTTGAGGGCTCTGTAGATCGGGGGATTAGAAGCATTAAGCAGAGATTTTGAAGGTTCTATAAGAGTTTCACTTGATGGATACATAAAGACAGAGATAGTTGTCCTAGCATGACTTGAATTTGCCACTACTCGATGATCAGCGCCTTTAAGTTTGTCATTGCTGACTATCTACACCTCGGAATATATATCATGTAAAATTTGTCAAAGTGAGCAGCATGCATTAAAAAGATAAACCAACCAATGATAACGTTGTCTAGCTACGAATCCAAACCTTGCTTTTGCATGATTTCATGTAAAAGGGAATAATAATTATTTGTATACCTGCAACACATAGCCTATGTTAACCACAAATGCATGAGGAAGAAGTTCAACTCCAATCCATTCGCTATCCTTGAAGGCTTGAAGACCATGAACATCCCCTTGAAGAAGAATAGTGATGACGGTAGGATCACGGTGCTTAGGTATTCCTAAAGTTAAGGTTGGGTCAAAGTTAAGAAAACAACTTTTAAAATTGGTAGGGGTAGCTTTTAAAAATCTAATTATTCTATAATCTGCTTTAAATTTTTTAATATAATTCATTTCCTTATTAAAATCTTGAAAAGATAATTTTATCCCTCTAGTTTTTGTTTTTATCATAAATCTGATTTCTATTCTTAGAAAAACCTAATATCTCCTTTAATTCTCATCCACCATTGTTGATCAATTAACCGTCAATCCATTGCCAAAAAATAAAATTCCACTGACTTCATTTAGTCATTGCTCAAGAGTGTTCACCAGAAGACCAACCTAAAGGTAGTATGGTTCATTTCCTTGACCCCATCCAGCCCCGCTCCGAACGAGCTGGGCAATCCTCGAAAGAGTCGAGGATTGGCACGGGGCTAGGCCCAAAATAGTGTTAAGATGATTTTAATTACCTTTTGTAATGAATTTCTAATAAAGAAATTAGAAGTATATTTAAAAAAGGTACTTCGATGATCAGCCCAGAAAAAAAGATATAATCTCTTCAGAATTGTAAATATTCGATAATTAATTTCTGTTGTAAAATTATCTATAATCCAATGATTTATAATGTAATGAAGTAACGTATAAAATAATAATATTAATAACAATAATAATGATAATAATAATGAAGATGAAAAATGGTGTTACATTTTTAAGTCCAAAAAGTAAGTTGATATAAATTAATCTGTCTAATCATAATATGCTTTCACATTAGTCTCTACATAAATTATCTAAAAAAAAAGTATTCAAAATCGGGAAAAAAAGTATTAAAAAAATGTTTGACCTCGTTGACCCTACAAAGATCCCGGTGACCATGGTGGGACTAGGGGGTTAATGACTTAATGTAGGAATTCTTACATGAATTCTATTCAATTATAACAATTACTCCCAAGATCTGCATATTGATTATAGAATACTGAATTTCTACCATAGCGTTTGAATTTCTTGAATTCCTTGCAAGTAACCATAAACGCTCCAAAATGACAACTTCCAAAGGGGGTTCAGTTTACAATCACATTTTAGGAAGGGAACCTAGCCAATTTATATTAATTTATTGGGCCCTCCCATTAAAGGTCCAATAAACTCTAAAGTCCATTATAGGCTCAAGCCCACACTTGTCGTCAACCCAAATCATATAAAATGAAGTGTTTTAGGAAAATTTTGGAATGATCATATACGTCCATCAGGATATCTAATTAGACTATACATTTACCTGGTTTTATCAAACCAAATCATAATTAATGTTAGCCCACGATTAGGAATTTTCTAACATTCTCCCACTTGGGCAACATTAATTATTTCATTTTATTTTTTGGCAAAGAAAACAATTTTGACTTTCGGGTAAAAAAACTTTTAAACTTTAAAGTGGCCACTGTTTGAAGAAAACAAAATAGTCCATAGATAACAATTCGACCAACAATCTAGTCAATATGATTATCAATAATGAACCAAGGCAATCTTTACATCTTAATTAATCGACATAAGATCAATCCATGATTACAATTATCAATAATATGGGAGTGTGGCATGAAATAGCACCCAACAAGATGATCATAAACATTTGCTAAGTCCTCTTTATGATTTCTTTATAACCTTTATGCTTTAAAGAAAAACTAGAGAAATCTCGTAGCTTCCAATGAAGCCTGTATGTTTCAAGATGAATGAGGCAAAAGATCAACCAACTCCCATGAGCATATCACGCAAACTAGAAACCGATGAGGGAAGTAAAAGTGTTGATTCTATGCTTTATAGAAGCATGATAGGTGCTTTATTTTATTTAACTGTATCTAGGCCAGACATATTGTTTAGTGTATGCATGTGTGCACATTTCCAATCATGTCCTAAGGAATCTTATTTGAATGTCATCAAAAGAATTCTTAGGTACTTAGAAGGAACTCCATATATTGGTTTATGGTATCCTAAAGGATCATCTTTTAGTCTTATAGAATATTCGGATGCCGATTTTGGAGGATGTAAGATAGATAGAACGAGCACTAGTGGAACATGTCAATTCTTAGAAAGCATGCTAGTTTCATGGCTGTCAGAGAAACAAAATTTAGTTGCTACTGTTAGCATAGGTGCCCCTAAGCCAATCATATTGTTATATGTTGACTTTGTGGATCATGATTAGTCAATCTATGAAAGACATTGTTTATATTATGTAAAACATATTTCATATGTATGTATTAATATATGCCCTTAGAGTGGTTGAACCGTGATGAGGGAATCAAGCAGTGATAAGTCTTCATTGTGAGATCCCTATGATCACTTATGGTAGCTAGTCTATAAATGTCCGTAGCTAGAGTATTATTCTGACCTAGGGCATACATAATACGGTGAGACTATCATAACATTGAATGACACTACTAGAAGGTAATGATTGATCTCACATGTTAAGGTTGTTTGGTGCAACTTGGTGCGATACATGGTGCTTGTTATTCACAAGTTCACTAGACTGACCCATTAGAGGATTACATATAGATGGTAACATCAACGTCCATGGAATACATCCTCTAATAGATGGTGGTGCATGTGGTCCTTAGACTTAAGATCACTGGAGCATCTTGTGTACCTACTGGTATAGTTTGACACTAACCAAATTTAATCCTAAGAGGGTTATTAGTACGGGAGTGATTGGCTACATCGAGAAGTACATCATGACTATGGTGGATTGATAAAGGATTTATCACTTCTGTGTATAGGAGATATTATCTTGGTGAGATTCCAGTTAAGGACAACGACCTTACAATCTATGGCCACAGTGGAATCGAGTTGAAGCTCGATTCGTCGATTGGTCAGATAATCGAATCTAAACATTTCAATGTGGTTTATACTTGTAGTTGACATTACTTCTATGCTTCAAACCTTGATAAGATAATAGATGATGAAAAGATTTGATTGCACGGTAATCATACTGTTGATAAGTAGTGAATACGCTAAATTCGAATCTGTTGGGTGGCCAAGATGCCTTACTAGGGTTTAATCTTGGTCTAGGTGTAATGAGATGATTGATTGGGTGTCGATCGCAATATTACACACTATTGGCATGATGAGAAGCCTTCATGTCACACACATAAAAGGCAATCTAAAGAAAATAATATGTGAGGGGCATTTTTGTCATTTGTTGAGGAAGGGGCATTTTGGTAAATCTTATGGAGCAATTAACTTTGTTAGAAAGGTTGTTGTTGGAATCCAATCCCGTATTAGATTTAATATGTAATATTCATTATTTATTTAAATATGTATATTGTCGTATATATATTGTAAATAAATAAATCGTCAATATTGAAATGTATATATCGATGTATATATGTTTTAAATATTGAAAGAACGTTATTAAATGATAAAAATAATAACAATATTCGGGATATGATTTTGTTCCAAAATCATGTACAATTATTATATAATTAGTGGAAGGCTATAATGGTAATATACCCTTCAAGGGATTTTAGAGCAACCCTATAAAAGGGCACTTTTCCCTAAAATCTAATAACTCTCCCATTTCATTCTCTCTTGGCCGTGTAAGTAAAGGTTCATTGAGAGAATTTTTTCTCTCAGCCCTTTTACTCACTCATCTTCTTTAGACTACACAAATCATCTAGTAAATCATTTATGTTGAATCTTGCCTTTGTGTGGATATCGTCAGTTCAATCCTACACTTGGATTGTGAGCGTTTTCATCCAAATTGAAAAAGAGGTGGACCCTCCAAACGTTGGTAAGATTTTGAATCTTTCATGGGTCTTGATTGATTTAAAGCATGTGAACATCATTATACTCATATATGGATTTTGGGGCTTATAGGGTTTTAATCGGTAAGTTTTTGTTTTCCGCTACCTTTATCTTTGATTAAATCCTAACAGCTACTTCAACCACGAAAACTGAGTATGTGTCAGTGGCTAGTTGTTGTGCACAACTTCTTTGGATGAAGCAACAATTTGAAGATTTTGGTTGGAAAATGCATAATATTCCTATTCATTATGATAATACAAGTGCTATGAATTTGTCTAAAAATCCTGTACGTCATTCTAGAACAAAGCATATGAACATTAGACATCATTTCCTATGTGATCATGTTAGCAAAGGTGATATTGTGCTTGAATTTGTTGATACTAATCACCAATTGGCCGACATCTTCACTAAGCCTCTTGATAAAGAAAGACTCTACACCATTCGAAGAGAGCTTGGAATGATAAATGCAAACCAGGTATGATTCATCATCCTGTGCAATTATCTTATATGTGAAATTGGTTGAGATGATATGTTTTATGTGCATGTTGAGAATATGTTTAAGTTGATTGTGATAACATGCTTTGTGTGATTGTCTTAGCATATGTCAAAAATGCAAATACTCTTACATGAGCCCATTAATGATTTGATTCAGCGGATTGCAAAGATAAAAAGGTTGGGATTATGAGTTAGGGACTCAAAAATCTGCTTTTGCAACAACCCGTATAGAGAAATCTATACATGCTTCTCCCAAGGGGACCAATAAGGTATATTAGATGATGGACATAAGAATCACTAAGTGGTAAGTCTTCTCACGAAGATGGAGAACACATTCAGTTCATATGTAAGATTAAAATTGTATTTTTAACAGATGAATGACAAATTGTTGACAAATGAGTGTTTGAATGGTTGGATGAGTGTTTTGAATGAAGAAAAGTCAAAATGATACAATCTTGTAGTTGATATCAAACTTCACACTTTTTCTCATATATGGAAACTCCCTAAGTGATTAGAATGTCAAAAACATTGTTTGTTGATGATGTTTTGATTAATGTACAATTAGAGTCAAATATTTTTTCAAACTGTTTGTTTTGGAACGAACATGCATATCTGTGGAATGATCATGTGCGTTGAGTGTTTTTAAATTAGATTTTGAAAACCAATGCACGTCCGTGCTGGCTATCGCGAACGACCTTGCATCATGTAACGTTGCCCTAACTCTAATGTAAAACATTAGTGGAACAATCGTGCTCGATTGTCGCACTACCATGCCTCGTGTTTTCTATATAAAGGTTGGTTCATTTTTGCATTGACGCCAAAATCATTTTCAAAAATTCTCTAAACTCAAAAATTCTTTTCACTAAAACTCACGCCAAATCACTTCCAAACACATTATAATACCATAAATCACCCAAACACTATGCCTAGAATAAAGAACATTGCTAGTTGAAGCCGAAGACCGAGATTAGGAGATTTGCATGGGCCTTATGGCCTTGAGTTCAAGAATCCAATCCAGAGAATCGAGTTCGAGCGCATTAACGAAAGGGGTATGCATCTTGGTCGAACTTCTGATTGGTCTACTATTAGTTCTCTAGGAATTGATGGTAAATTGTTAGAATTGATTGATAAATTGAAATGGAGAAGATTGATCAACTTAAGGACGATTGGTAATAAACAACTTAGCAATGAATTTCATAGTAGTCTTGAAGTTGATAATGGTTATCAAATGGGTTTTAGGCTGAAAAACATTGATCATGTTATTTATGTTAATACATTGGCTGAAATGTGATGGTGAAAGATTAGTGGATCCACCTAAAGGTTGGTCCTACCAAATTGCTTAGGATACCGTAGGAGGAATAGGAACTTATGATCCTCATAGATCGAGATCAACAAAGCTGAAAACTCTAGAGATGATACTTCTTCATGGATTCAACTCTTATTCCTTCAATGCAAGGAAAAGGTTGAATGGTCAAGTTACGACCAAATATTTATTGCTAATGGAAGGAGCAATAAATGGGAAAAAGTTAGTTCTGCCATTATTTGATAAGAAGCTTGAAGAGATTCAAAAGGACTGGAGAGATTCCTTTGGTATTATTGTTACCTTTGCTGTAGTTGTCTAAATTTTCCAATCATGGAAATGGATTCTAACCAGAAGATAGCCTTTGATGACTTTAACTTATTCTCTGACAATTCACTTCAGAGGATGGGTTTGATAAGAGCAAGAGTTGATGGATCGTGGGTT